GGGGGGGTGGGATTATGGACATTGGGGAGGGTATGTGCTATGATGAGTGCTGTGAAGTGTGTAAACCTGGCGATTCACAGACCTGTACCCCTGGGGATAAAAATATATGTTTATAAAAAAATAAAATTAAAAAAAAAAAAAAATGAAGGAAATCCTGCCTCTTGCACCAAACATACATGGGACCCGAGTGTATTATGTTAAATGAAATAAAGCAGACAGAGAAGGTCAAATACTTTATTATCTCACATGTGTGTGGAATCTAAAAATAACCAAACTCATAAATACAGAAAATAGATTAGTGGCTGCCTGAGGCAGGCATTGCAGAGTAGGTGAAATGGGAGAAGGTGGTCAAAAACACAAACTTCCACTTACGAGTTAAATAAATCTTAGGGATATAATGTCAGCATGGTGACAATTAATAGTAAGGAGGTAAAGGAATGAATAAATGGGTTATGTATTATACTGCTGTATTGTATATTTGAAAGTTTCTAAGTAAGTAGATTGCAAGAGTTCTCATTACAAGAAAAAAAATTAGTCACTGTGTAGTGATGAATGTTAACTAAACTTATTATGGTAATCCTTTCACAATATATACACGTATTACATCATTTTCGTACACTAAAACTAAAGAATATTATTTTTCAATTGTTTCTCTATTAAAAAGAATATGGAAATTTTAAAATAAATAACTGTTGACTCTTTGTGAATAGAACACAAGAAAAAAACAATAAAATATGACAATTTTATATTATTTCAGAAAGTTAAAGTAGTTAAAGAATAAAATCATTCCGGGGCACCTGGGTGGCTCAGGGGGTTAAAGCCTCTGCCTTCGGCTCAGGTCATGGTCTCAGGGTTCTGGGATTGAGCCCCGTATCGGGCTGTCTGCTCAGCAGGGACCCTGCTTCCTCCTCTCTCTCTCTGCCTGCCTCTCTGCCTACTTGTGATCTGTGTGTCAAATAAATAAATAAATGAAAATCTTAAAAAAAAAAAAAAGAATAAAATCATTCCTAGAAAAAAGTTTTGGGAAAAGGTTCTTACACGACTTTTAAAATCTTAGTTGTAAAATTTTAGAAATAGACTAATTTCTGTTTTCAGATGATGAAAATGAGATGTTACCAGGTAAAAGAAACATAGCCAATTATTGTTAGAGTATGATTCCAACTCTTATACGAAATCTAGGCCTTCAGCTCTTGACTCCTGTTCATCCAGTGCTTTTCTACTGTTTATGTTTGTTATTTAACCACTTGGTTTAAAAGTAGCTTGGAAATTTTCAGTGATCCCTGAAAGACCTTTCTTCTTTTACTTGTCCATGTTCTTCAGTGGTTCTTTCAGCAGCTAAGCTCTCCAAACTCTTCCCACCACCATTCATTTGTGAGAAACTTTATTTTACTTTTAAATTTACATCCTTTTCTGAGAAGCAAGAGCTCAAATGTAAGTGTCACTCAACTCTTGATTGCTTTTTGCGTTAGACTTTTGAACATAAATGTGACTGCGCTAGACATTTTTAATACATTTATCTCATTGAAATCTTAGAACTATATGAGATACGAAGAAGCTAAATTTGAGAAAGAAGATGTTTTGGCCATTATTTCTTTAAATTGGCTAATTTATTCTTTTTTCATGTTCAGTACATTTTTCCAATCTACCACACTAACCATTATTGTAAAATCCTCAGCCAGAATGCCCAATTTGTATAGCAATTGGTGAATCTCTAGTTGTAACAATCTTTTTTTTAATTTAATTTTATTTTTTCAGTGTTCCAAGATTCATTGCTTATGTACCACAGCCAGTGTTCCATGCTATACCTGCCCCCCTTAATACCCACCACCAGGCTAACCCAACCCCCTACCCCCCTCCCCTAGTTGTAACAATTTTATTCTAAAACAGTTGTTCGCATGTAAATACAATGATTGATCTTTGTTGTTGAATGTATTTAAACCAACCATTCATTGCAATTTAGTATTCATCCATTCTCTTTCCTTTCAGACCTGTATGTGGAATCAGAGGGAAAACTCTCATAATTAACCTGCCAGGTAGCAAGAAAGGATCTCAGGTAAGCAACCTTGAGAGTTATATGATTTAGTGTAAAGTTTTAACAACTATGAGAGTTAGTCAACCAAAATGTTAGAGGACTCCATGAGACTGCCCTCACTAGAGTCTGACACCAGTTGCAATTTAGTGCATTCCCAAAAACCACCCTCAGTTTCAGTAATTCACCAGAAAGACTCACAGAACTCACCAAAGGATATTAAGCTAACAGTTATGCTTTATGACACAGAATGGATACAGATTAAAGTTAACCAAGATGGAAGAGAGGTGAATGCATTACTCTCTTGGCATCAGTGTATAACAGCTCAGGGAGTATTGCCAATCAGGGAAGCTCCAAACCTTCAGTGTTCAGAGTTTTTGCTGGGGCTCATCACATGCTGCCCATAAGGCTGGCCTTTATTCTATAGCCCTTTCCAAAGGTTAGGCTCTTTCCTTTATTCCCCAGCACTTTCCAGAAGCAAAACAGACACCAAAATGCCCAATGCCCTCATCATAAATCACATTGTTACACTGTTTGGTAGCCCAAGTTGCCAGGCAACAAAGACATTCCTATCACATCCCAGTAAATGAAAGCAAAGGCCAAACTCTCTGGGGTAAGGTTAATTTTTCATTACATAAGTTATCCCCTGGCTTTGGCCAAAGTTCTCTTATAGAAAAATGATTGTATTTGTCTGGCTGGGCATCTGTATTTACTACAGCATTTATATTACAGATATAACACCAGTATCAGTATGAATATATCTAAGATTTAGAGGATTCAGTGTGGGATAGGGATAAATTTGAGAAATAGGTAATTTATCCTTTAAAACCATTATACATATTTCATATTTTTATACTAATATACTAATTTTTTACCTTGATCTACTATTTTTATCCTATGATACAATTCCACAGAACTATTTACCACAGACATTAGCTGTCTTGTTTAGGCCATTTTCCATTGGTATTACATTTTGAGGAGGATTTAACTCAATTTCCCAATAAATATGATCATCAATATCAATATTGTAATCTTACTAGCAATGACAGTATTATAACATTTCACAGTAGAGTTATGGATATAACCTGAAATATGAGTGAAAAGGTAACTGGCACACTATTAGAGTCCTACATAGACATTAACAGTTAGCCTAGTCTATCATTATATCATATGATCAAAATGTCTCCCAGAGCTATGCTATTCAGGTTTATGGGCTTGTCAGATTCCCAAAGTAGGAATAGTCTCACCAACATATGACTTTAACCTTTCTGGCATCTGTTACAACTGAGCTAAGAACAATATCCTCTCTTGTTCTAAAGATTTTGAGACACCAATATAGTTGATCTCCCTCGTTACATAACCCATTTATTCATTCCTTTACCTCCAGTTACCATTCCTCCTTCTTTCCATTTATACTCCGACTTTTCCTTTGAAAATCTTTTAATGAGACAGTTGATTTGGCCACTGTGCTGGTCTGGATTGCCACCAGTAATACTTGTTTAACAAGTGCCACCTGCTTAGTCCTTTTCCGTTCATACAAGATAGGGTTGCTAGTGAGCAGTCTCAAACATCAGGTGATATAACTGCATTCACTGTCAATCCCAATTTGGCTAGATGGAGTCAGGCATAATCTACCCCATCAGGCCCTAGGAACTCTGACGGAAAGGTTTAAAGGTATAGTTAGTAGTTTCTGCTTAAGAATCATCCTGCTCTGGGATGCACAGTTGCAGCCCTGATCCTGGTACTATAGCGTCAGGTAGAAAAAAAAGTTGGTGTGATATGATAAAAGAAAAAGTATAGTCCTAAAGAAAAAGTATAGTCATACCAGTATTGTGTCCTAGCCCCCTCTTCCCTAGAAAGGTAGAGGACTATATTTAGTGGGGACCCTCCCTCAGCCTCCCCCTTGTTGAATGTGACCACACACTAATGGTCACTAATGAAAGCATATAAGCCATGCTCCTCCATTTTGAGACAACAGTTTCCATAGTCCATTCCAATTTTCTATCAAATCATTGCTCTGAATATGAAAGTGTGTACTTTGGTCTAAAGGAATGTGACTCTGCAGTCATTGGTACAATATTTTCTATTCTAGTCCTTTTATAGTATACTGAGTATTTGCATCTACCATTGAGTAAGCAAAGCCCAGTCCAAAGTAAATGTCTGTTCCTATTAGGATTCATTTGTAGCCTCAAGGGACTAGCAGCATCAGTCCAACTTGCTAGCTATGTGCAGGACTTTCCCCTATGGAATATGCTGCATAACCTTCTGCTGTCTGCCTTTTTTGTTAGCAGATAGAACAGTTCTTGTTGGCATTTAGTGCCTCAGTGGGTGCAAGAAGAATAAATCAATCTAGCCCATATCTGCATTGTTGCAGCCCCCCATTGCCCACTCATCTCATGGGCCCAGGTGCCATGTCAAGCATGCATACTGGGATATCTGCTCACCAGTTCCAATTAACTTCCGTTTCTGAAAGGGTGTTCTTCTGATGGGCATTGATGTATCCTACTTAAACATACCCCTTACATTCCCAGAGTGACTTCCATAGGCTATGCCCCATACAAGCATCCATTTGGTAAACCAATTTTCCATTGCCCTTCTGCCTGACCATATGGCCAGGCCACTGAACACTTCTTATGAGTTGGTAAAAACCCAAACATAGGGGCAAACATCATGCAGTTCAGCCTATCGAGCTGATTTGTTTTTACCTTCTTCAATCAGAGTGGCGGCCTTCCAAACAGGATGCTGTCCCTTCATCTTGGAATTGCCATCCATAAACCAAGCAGCTCTTTGTTGATCAGTAGAAAGCTGTTTATAGGGCACCGCCCAAGTGGCCCAAGTGGCCATAGGATCCAGCAGCTCCTCAGGTGGTTCCGAAGTCGGCCCTAGGTGAAAAGAGGCTACCTGCTCGTGAGTACCTCCTTGCATTCTCCTGGTAGCATGATCCTATATGCACCATTTCCATTTTATTATGGAATTCTCTTGGGCATTGCCTTCCCCATTAGAGCATTTCTCTGATATTCCCAAGACATTATGGATATTTCAGTTTTCAAGATTATTTTATGTTCTTCAGTCATAAGGGTAGTCTCAATTAAAGTCCAATAGCAAGCTAGTAATTTTCTCTCAAATGGAAATTTTCTGGCCCAAAGTCCCAGCAGTTGTTGCTAGGTGGCACTCACAGATTTCTTCCGTGAACCCAGTTTGCACTCCACACAGGTCTGTTGTACACCAAATTAATGATCTGTGTAGACTCAGGCAATATTATTTATTCCCACTTAACATGTATTATGTATACTGGTGGAAGAGTGGGTTTATATGCTTTCTATTTTACAATACAAGGTAAAGAAAGAATTGTTTAGTCAAACACAATATCCATCCCCATAATACAATCAGGTAAAGGAGACTGATCACTTCATATGAAGTTCACTGTCCAGACATTCTAATTTTCATCCCAACTTTCACTATAATAACATCGACTATTGCATCCCTGTACCCTTTCAATCTAACTGTACCTCCCATTAGAACTTCAACAGGTATTTACATGATGGATCCCATGTTGAGAAATCCCAGAAAAGTAATTCTCCATCCCATGGCCATTTTATCCATTTATGTGCATATGGCCTTGGATTTCTAGGCAGGGTTTTTACCAAGGGTTTCACACTCTTTTGTCAGGCCTTATCTTGATTAGATTATGGGAACATCACTTAAGGTGATTCAAGATGAGGTTTCTTTTAGTTATCTTTGCCTTCCTTTGCCTTTTAAAATTCCTTCAAACTAGGGTAAATAGAGATTGTTTAGGACCCTTCAATGTTGGGAGACCAGTGCTCCCATCTGTCTGCTCAACCCATAATGCTGCTTAACACCTTTCTTTTGCCCCCAGCAATGCCCACTTTATTCATTCATTTCTTAATTATTATTTAAATATTTCTACCCTTATAGGACAGGTCTCTTGAATCTCTCATTTCTTTACTCCATTCTCTTAGGAATAAGTCTAACTTTATTCACTATTAATCATTTCCGCATAACATTTTTTTTGGAAGCAGCTCAGGGAGCGGCAGCTATATGTTAGATCAGCCAAAATCTAAGCTTGGCACAACCTCAGGATTCACCCCAACATTCTTCCTTTTGTTTTAGCTAGTGCAAATAACAATAACTAAGAGATTATAAATTTACCTTTTTTCTTTATGCATCCACTGACATACCTTAAAAGTTTGATCTGTCATTTCAAAATTCCATTGCTAACTTCTATCACCAATAACTAATCACAGCACAGCTGCAGTTGCATTCTGTGGGTGACCCTGTGTTTATCCAGGCTCTAAAGATTAACCATCCCCACCCTGTCTTCCTTTCTCTGCCCACATGATTTTTCATGATCACATGAGTCAGGATCTTTCTAGTGAGTCACACTTCTAACACCAACTGTAAGGATTTTGGGCCAACTGTAAAAGTTAGCCAACTATAAAGTTGGAGCACTCCACAAGACTTCCTTCACTCTGGACACCAACTTACAATTTAGAGGGTTTCTAAAACCACCCTCAATTTTAATAATTAACAAGAAGGACTCACAGAACTCACTGAAAACTGTTGTACTTACTGTTGTGGTGTATTGCAGGGAAAGAATACAGACTGAAACCAGCCAAGAGAAGAAGCACATAGGGCAAATTCTGAGAGGTACTAAATGAGGAACTTCTAGTCATCCTCTGCCATGGAGCCAGGGACAGCATTACCTCTTCTTGGCCATAAAAGAGATAATACAGAATATCAATAACTAGGCACACTCACCTTTGCCTTTGATGTCCAGTGTTCTTATTGAGACTTGATCACATATTACCCATATGGTTGACCTTTAGTCTAATCCTTCCCAGAGGGGAAACTTAGGCTTTTAATCCCCAGTTCCTTCCAGAGGCAAAACTAATATCTTGTTTCCCAAAGTCCTCATAATAATCCACATTGTTAGATTGTCCAGTGGCCAAATCTCAGGCAAACAAAGACACTCCTTTTAGGCAAGACCAGGAACTAGAGTTCACCTTCCAAAAGCTGAAAGTAAAGGCCAGAGTTCTTGTTGGTCAAGATTAAATTCTTTTCTATATAATCTTTATTACTAAAATGATTGAGCCATATAAAGAGAGTCAAAATATCAGGTACCCTTACAGGAATTCCCATAACCCTCTGTAAATTTTAAGATATTTCTTTACATCTTAAATTTTAAGGTAAGTTACTTTAAATGTAAAAAAGAAAGACCTGTGCTTGAACACATTCCACAAACATCTCTGGCCCTATGTTCTGATTTTAAAGTTCTCACCTATTCTCTTTTGGTGATACATTATAGGTTATAGTGGGCACTTGAGCAGGAAACTATGTTAATTTTTATGTAGTGCTCTATACAAACATTTTTTGTATATTACACAATGTTGCCTAGCTATATTTTATGATAATAGTCAGAACTTTAGCTCTCTGAATAAAATAAGTCAGTCCTCAACTGATTTGTGAATTCGAGTGTTCTGCTTTAACTAGAAAGGTGAAACTGTTTCCTGCCTTTCCCATGATGTATTAAAACCTGAAGTTGTATAGAAATTTTACTTTAAGAAAAATATACTATATGCTTATATAGTACTCTAGTTCTACAGCTTACAGAGAATACTATGTACCATGTTTACTTCATATTTCACATTGCAAAGATAATATTTTCAATATTATTCATTCTTAAGATAGATGGAGAGAAATATAGATCCCAAATCACAAGTAAGTTGACTGTTACCATTTTATATGCCTATAAACGTGCTTTATCTTCATTTTTTTTCTTCCTCTTGCATACAGGAATGCTTTCAGTTTATACTGCCAGCTCTACCTCATGCCATTGACCTTTTACGTGATGCCATTGTAAAAGTAAAGGAAGTACATGATGAACTTGAAGATTTACCTTCCCCACCACCTCCTCTGTCCCCTCCTCCCACAACTAGCCCACATAAACAGACAGAAGACAAAGGGGTTCAATGTGAGGAAGAGGAAGAAGAGAAGAAAGACAGTGGTGTTGCTTCAACAGAAGATAGTTCTTCATCACATATAACTGCAGCAGCCATTGCTGCCAAGGTAAGCCAGCTAACAGAGACCCAAAGATCTAAAGGAACCGCAGGTAAATGTAATGATTTCATCCCTCTTTCCATCCAGTTTTTTTCTTGAGTTCAGTTCCTCTTCAGGGCATCCTTAGAAAAGAATCAGGATATTCATGACACTCATAGCTATGTGCCCTCCATAATGTAGAGTCCTTGAAAGCATTGAAGTTTGTTCTCGGTTATGAGACATTAAAGATATTGCTGTTACTTATTGAAGTAATAGGTAAATAGGTAAAATGTGACATTTAAGAACTCTTTGGAAATGTCATTTTTGTGGTCATATTAAATATACAACTTTCATATATTTAAAACATCAAATATTCACAAATTCATAAAGGAGCTGCAGACTGAAGGTAAGAGACCTTAGATGATTCAAAAAATTAGTTGAGAAAGACTAGTATTTTTTTAAGACGGGTTTTTCAGCAGTTAACACTTCTTTAAATTTTACTTGACCCAAATTACCCTAGTGGTATAAAGAGGAAATAGATATAATGTATTTGCATTTTTTATTCAATAAAGTAATAAATATTATTAGAATAGTACCGAAGTATTACAGATTCTCTTTGGGCAATTTTGGTAGTAAATAGAGTACAATACGGTACTTGCATAAATTTAGTCACTTTATTCATAAACGTCACTTAAATTATTATTCATACCTAGTATAATCTACCCAGTATACTTAAAAATCTTCGGAAAATAACGTCTCATTGCTGGGAATAATGATCGTTCATTGAGAACACAAGATTGAAAACCTAATGAAGGAATTCCTAAAGTTTTAGGTTATCACCCAGATATTTTGGCTATGAGGATAACTTGAGAGGAATTTTGACAACACATAGAAAGGATCATAGAGATCTTTTTAAGGTGTCCTTTTAGACAACCAGTAGGTAATTCTTTCACTGAAGACCAAATGATTTCGTCTCCAGATCTGCTCAGTTGGTCCATTAAATGTTTACTTAAGGCAAGTAAATGTTTTAATTGCATGTGATTTTTGTTTTGTTTTGTTTCATTTTGTTTTTATGGAACTGATTGGTTAAATACATGCATTTTTAAATCATTATATCTTCTCTTTTACTGTTAATTAAGAGTAAAAAGTACCATCAATTTCAATCTTAAGAGAAAGCTTACAATATTTGAAATCTAAGCTGATATTGTCATACTACATTTGAAAAATTTTGGCATTTCATTGTTTCATTTGTTTTCACCCTTTTCCTTTCTAGTCATTTTGCTTGTATAGTTTCATGTCTTCCTGTCACTGTATTCATAGTTGTTATGTGTTGTGCATTAGAAGCATCCATTCTACACCAGTCCAGCTGTTATCATGGCACACGGTGAGCAGCCCATTCCTGGTCTCATCACTTATTCCCATCATGCAACAGGCAGTACAGACGAACGGGTAAGACAATAGGCTTTTGCACTCATGGTTTTGCAAGCATACAGCCTACCTGGTTTCCTTGGAGGATAGGCTATAACATATTATGGAAGATGTGTTTTATTCTGAAAGCTCTTCAGCATGCTTTTTTTCTAAAGAGTAAGTGCCACTGAGCCTATTCCATCAAGGAATTTAATAGAGTTTCTCCTATACCTGAAATACTCTAATATCATTAAGATTCTTAAAATACAAACAAATTGGTCAAACTAATATTTAATTTCTGTTAACCTTGCTTTTTGCCTCATGATTTTTCATCTTACTTTCTTTTCCTTCATTATGTTCTCATTAAAACCATTTAGAGAATTGAGTCTTCATACAACTTCTGAGATACATACAGAATCTGAGATTCTGAGAAGATTCATACAATGAATCTTCTAATAAAAACTTGTAAAAATACATATCACTTGTTTTAGTCACTGGCTGAATGATAGTTTGTAAAAAGTTCCAGGCTAGAAAAGATCAAACTGATAAGTATAACTGACTAAACAGTAATAATTTAGATGATGGATGCCAAAAATCTATCTCAGTCCCTAATATGGATTTTTTTTTTTTTAGATTTTATTTATTTATTTGTCAGAGAGAGAGAGAGAGGGAGAGAGAGCAAGCACAGGCAGACAGAATGGCAGGCAGAGGCAGAGGGAGAAGCAGGCTCCCTGATGAGCAAGGAGCCCGACGTGGGACTTGATCCCAGGATGCTGGGATCATGACCTGAGCCGAAGGCAGCTGCTTAACCAACTGAGCCACCCAGGCGTCCCCCTAATATGGTTATAAAGTGAAAGGCAGTTGGTTAAGCTTCTGTTCTTGGTTCTGATCATGATCCCAGGATCCTAGGATCAAGCCCTGCATCAGGCTCTCTACTGAGATGGGGGTCTGCTTCTCCTCTCCCTCTGTCCCTACTCCTTCTCTCTTTCTCTCAATGCTCTCTCTCTAATAAATCAAATCTTAAAAAAAAAAATAAAATGAGAGGCAAAAAAAGGAGTAATAAAGTGAAATTTGGCTTAAAATCCTTAGGGAGATCCAATTAAAAAAGGAATAGAAGGCATGAACAAACGTTTCTATAAACATCCAGATGTCCAACAGACACATGAAAAGATGATCAACATCACTTATCATCCAGGGAGTGCAAATCAAAACTGCAATGAGATACCACCTCACACCTGTCAGTATGACTAAAATCAATAACACAGGAAACAAGTGTTGGCAAGGAAGTGGAGAAAGAGGAACCCTCATGCACTATTGGTAGGAATGCAAACTAGTACAGCCACTCTGGAAAACAATATGGAGTTTTCTGAAAAAGTTAATTAGAATTACCCTACAAACCAAGAATTGTGCCACTGGGTATTTACCCCCAAAATACAAAACACTGATTCAAAGGGAGACATGCACCCCTATGTTTATAGCAGCATTATTTAGAACAGCCAAATTATGGAAGCAGCCCAGATGTCCATGAACTGATGAATGGGAAAAAAAGATGTGATATGCATGTAAAATGGAGTATTATTCAGCCATAAAGAAGAATGAAATCTTGCCATTTAAATGACATGAATGGAGCTAGAGAGTATAATGCTAAGCAAAACAAGTTAGACAAATACCATCTTATTTTATTCACATGTGGAATTGGAAACAAAGCAAATGAGCAAAGGAAAAAAAGAGTTTTGTTGGCATTTGGGATTTACCTGTGGTTGCAACACAAAGATAACTGTGGGCTGAAGCAAGTGCTTAAAAGTATGCTCCTTCAACAGTGTGGTTTACCTGGTCCTATTAGTTGAATTCATTGGGCATCTCAGTGGATGAATGATCTCTAAAACCATTAATAATTTGTTGAAAGTAAAATCGTAACTTTATTACAAATACTAAATGAATACATATCCAAGATATTATGTCTTACATTAATTATTGAGGGTACCAGAAAGATACTACAACTGCTTCACAGGAAAGCTCAAATACAAATATATAAGCATTAAGAATGTAGAAATGGAAAAAAAAAAAAAAGAATGTAGAAATGAATTTACAAATATTGATCTCATTATTACTTAATGGTTAAGTTATGAATATTCAAATAGAAAAAGGGATGTAGGGGCGCCTGCGTGGCTCAGTGGGTTAAGCCGCTGCCTTCAGCTCGGGTCATGATCTCAGGGTCCTGGGATCAAGTCCCGCATCGGGCTCTCTGCTCAGCCAAGAGCCTGCTTCCCTCTCTCTCTCTCTCTCTGTCTGCCTCTCTGCCTACTTGTGATCTGTCGAATAAATGAATAAAATATTAAAAAAAAAAAAGAAAAAGGGATGTAAAAGTACTTAATGCAGTATCTGAATAAAAGTAAATATTTGTTATTTTAGGTGGTTGATCACCTCACTGATCCTAACTCAACTTTCAGATGTTACTGATATAATTCCTCCTTCATACCTCCTCTTTCCTTTGCCCAGTTGAACAATCCTTTCTTCTTCTTATTCAGCCTTTAGGCACCCTATAAGGCCTACCTCCATGGTTATTACATTTTTATAGCTGGTGACCTCCTTTGGAAATAGGATTAATGCTTGTTCTCCTCTCTAAAGGCTCATACATACAACTGTTGAGTTCATTTGCAAGGCCTGTTCCTTAGATTAATTCTTATGCCACAAGAAACAACAACTGTTGGCAAGGACATGGAGAAAAGGGAACCTTCTTGCACTGTTTGGGAATGCAAACTGGAGCAGCCACTCTGAAAAACAGTATGGAGGTTCCTCAAGAAGTTAAAAAATAGAGCTACCCTACAATCCAGCAGTTGCTTTACTACCCTATAATCCAAAAAATAAAAAAATATTGATTTAAATGATATATGCACCCCAATGTTTATAGCAGCATTATCTACAATAACCAAACTATGGAAACGGCCTGAGTGTCCATCGATTAATGAATGGATAAAGAAATACATTACTTACCCATTAAAAAGAAAGAAATCTTGCACTTACAATGATATGGATCGAGCTAGAGAGTATTATGCTAAGCACAATAAGTCAGAGAAAGACAAATACAATATAATTCACTCATGTGTGAAATTTAAGAAACAAAACAAATGAGCTAAGGGGAGAAAAAAGAGAGAGAGAGATGCAAATCAAGAAACAGACTCTTAACTATAAAGAATAAACTAATGGTTACCAAAGGGGAGGTGGGTTGGGGATGGGTAAAATAGGTGTTGGGGATTAAGGAAGGCACTTATCAAGAGGAGCACCAGGTATGGTATGGAAGTGTTGAATCACTGTCTTGTATACCTGAGACTAATATTACACTATATGTTAGCTAACTAGAATTTAAATAAAGGCTTTAAAGGATAAAAACTTTTAAAAATTAAAAAAAAATTCTTGTGCTAGCTAAAGTCCAGCCTTCTCCCTAAAGCCTTTCATAAATCCAATCTATATTTATCTTTGCTTTCATTTTGTATTACATTCATTCACCAAATATTTGTTTTGATATATATAGACATATAGATATATACACATATATATACATTTATATGTCACTCTGCTAAATGCCATGTTTTTAAATGATCATACATGATTTAGGCCCTGCCCTTGAGGAACTCACTGTGTAATACAAAAAAAAAAAAAAAAAAAATCTTAAATGAACTAGTTTTATAAGTGTATCATAACTGTTGGTAGTCTCATGAGATTAAAAAAAAAAAAAAAAAACTTGTCTTATTATTCCAGATTTTATTTTAAGAAATCCTGTGAGATTTATCAGTGGCTATTTTGAAATTACTTGGCATGATAAATTCCCAGGAAACAACCTAGTCTAATCCACCATCATCTTTCATCTCCGTTATTTCAGTGGTTAGTCTCATCAGTTCCACTTTAACCTCTCTTCAGTTTACTCTTCTCAAAGCCAGAGTCAGCTTTTTAGAACATAAAGTAAATCATGTCACTTTCCTACTTGAAACTTTCAATGATTCTTGCTACATTTAAAATACAACTAAAACTCCTTGACATGTTCTGCTAGATTCTACATGATGTGGCTCCCCCCAACTTTACCAGGCCCTTGTCTAACCATTCCTCTCCCTTTCCTCATTGCTTACCAAGCTTCATCAAGCTTTTTCTTGCCTTGGGTAATGTGCTGTCCCCACTGAAATATTCTTAACCCCATTCTTTGCCTAAATGACTTCTATCTATTCTTTCTGTCCCAGTGTATCTCTTTCTTACAGAAAGACCTCTGATCTGCTTCCTTCAGTCTAAATTATGTTTGCAGTTACTCTCTCTTATAGCATCTCGTTCTTTTCCTTTATAGCACTTAACACAATTTACAATTATATACTTATTCATGGGTTTAATATTTATATATATGGATTGTAAGGTCCATGAGGACAAGGATCAGATCTCTTAGTTTATATATCAATCTACCCAACACCTAGCACAGCTTTGCACATATTATACACTGATAAAATATTTGTTAAATATGTTCCATGAAAAATTATAATATATCATCTGTCTATAAAGAATAGATGTCCATTAACTACGTTTACAAGACAGACATAAAAAAAGATATATTTAGTAATGCCTATGATGTATATGGACTCTTCCATGAAATAATAAGCACAATCAGCATATTCTTTCCCTCTAGTAAGCTAATATATTATGTGACTATAGTAATAATGATGAGATAATTTTTGCGTGCTAACTATGTAGCAGATACTATTCCAGATGGTTTATATAAACCATTAGAAATTAATACCAAAATGTACATATAGGCAAGATTATACCTTTTATTTTCCTGGAAGGCAAGTATATATAGCAAAACAAATTTTAATAAGGATTTTTATTAATACCATTGAGGACAACAAAAATTCTGAATAATTTTAAACAAGAAGGGAATAATTTTAATAAGTATAAATAGGGGGTGCCTGGGTGGCTCAGTGGGTTAAGCCGCTGCCTTTGGCTCAGGTCGTGATCTCAGGGTCCTGGGATCGAGTCCCGCATCGGGCTCTCTGCTCAGCAGG